CATAGAAAAGTAACTTATATGGCAATAGCAGAAAACAGTGAAAGGGGATAAATAGACTTAAATATTTGTAAGATTCTTGAATATAAACAAGAGCCAACTTAAAGTAGTTTGTATTAACTCTTCCAAAATATAGCAGAGGGAGGAACACTCCCAAACTCATTCTAGGAGGCCACCATCACCTTGATACCAAAACCAGACAAAGATGTCACAAAGAAAGAAAACTACAGGCCAGTATCACTGATGAACTCAGATGCAAAAATCCTCAACAAAATACTAGCAAACAGAATCCAACAGCACATTAAAAGGATCATACACCATGATCAAGTGGGGTTTATTCCAGCAATGCAAGGATTCTTCAATATACACAAAACAATCAATGTGATACCCCATATTAACAAATTGAAGGAGAAAAACCATATGATCATCTCAATAGATGCAGAGAAAGCTTTCGACACAATTCAACACCCATTTATGATAAAAACCCTGCAGAAAGCAGGCATAGAGGGAACTTTCGTCAACATAATAAAGGCCATATATGACAAACCCACAGCCAACATCATCCTCAATGGTGAAAAACTGAAAGCATTTCCACTAAGATCAGGAACAAGACAAGGTTGCCCACTCTCACCACTCTTATTCAACATAGTTTTGGAAGTTTTAGCCACAAAAATCAGAGAAGAAAAGGAAATTAAAGGAATCCAAATCAGAAAAGAAGAAGTAAAGCTGTCACTGTTTGCAGATGACATGATACTATACATAGAGAATCCTAAAGATGCTACCAGAAAACTACTAGAGCTAATCAATGAATTTGGTAAAGTAGCAGGATACAAAATTAATGCACAGAAATCTCTGGCATTCCTATATACTAATGATGAAAAATCTGAAAGTGAAATCAAGAAAACACTCCCATTTACCATTGCAACAAAAAGAATAAAATATCTAGGAATAAACCTACCTAAGGAGACAAAAGACCTGTATGCAGAAAATTATAAGACACTGATGAAAGAAATTAAAGATGATGCAAATAGATGGAGAGATATACCATATTCTTGGATTGGAAGAATCAGCATTGTGAAAATGACTCTACTACCCAAAGCAATCTACAGATTCAGTGCAATCCCTATCAAACTACCACTGGTATTTTTCACAGAACTAGAACAAAAAATTTCACAATTTGTATGGAAACACAAAAGACCCCGAATAGCCAAACCAATCTTGAGAACGAAAAATGTAGCTGGAGGAATCAGGCTCCCTGACTTCAGACTATACTACAAAGCTACAGTAATCAAGACAGTATGGTACTGGCACAAAAACAGAAATATAGATCAATGGAACAGAATAGAAAGCCCAGAGATAAGCCCACCCACATATGGTCACATTATTTTTGATAAAGGAGGCAAGAATATACAGTGGAGAAAAGACAGCCTCTTCAATAAATGGTGCTGGAAAACTGGACAGCTACATGTAAAAGAATGAAATTAGAACACTCCCTAACACCATACACAGAAATAAACTCAAAATGGATTAAAGACCTAAAGGTAAGGCCAGACACCATCAAACTCTTAGAGGAAAACATAGGCAGAGCACTCTATGACATAAATCACAGCAAGATCCTTTTTGACCCACCTCATAGAGAAATGGAAATAAAAACAAAAATTAACAAATGGGACCTAATGAAACTTCAAACTTTTGCACAGCAAAGGAAACCATAAACAAGATGAAAAGACAACCCTCAGAATGGGAGAAAATATTTGCAAATGAAGAAACTGGCAAAGGATTAATCTCCAGAATTTACAAGCAGCTCATGCAGCTCAATAACAAAAAAACAAACAACCCAATCCAAAAATGGGCAGAAGACCTAAATAGACATTTCTCCAAAGAAGGTATACAGATTGCCAACAAACATGAAAGGATGCTCAACATCATTAATCATTAGAGAAATGCAAATCAAAACTACAATGAGATATTAGCTCACACCAGTCAGAATGGGCATCATCAAAAAATCTACAGATTTTTTTTTTATTGGAGTATAGTTGCTTTAAAATGTTTTAGTTTCTGCTGTACAACAAAGTGATTCACCTATAATCACTTAGCTCTAATCTATTCAGAATTAATTTCTAGGAGTTGGTCCATTTCCAGGATGGCTCTGTTACTTATTCAATATTAAGAGTTTTCCTTTAACTTTCTGGTTACTCAGATCTTCTCTATACCTCATTCTGTATAAGGCTACTGCTAATTCTGGACTACCAGATTCAGATACCTCTCCTAGCTTTTATACTTTGCCTTTCAAGAAGCTTCTAAGAAAAATAAGCAGTAATTCAGCTATGGGTATTTCCACTCTTTGTGTCAAGCCATTTTTCTTAGTGAACTATCTATTAGGTTTTAGGTACTGTAGACAATGAATAAGGTGAAGATTTCTTGCCTGCCATCAATGAATTATAAGCTCCAACTTACCACTCCAACTCAAAAATGGTTGTCTTATGCACACTGCTTGATGAAAGTACATTATATTTAGGAAAACACTACTCATATTCAGTAGTGTTACAGATAAGAATAAACTACCTGGGGTCTTTTGGAAGATATGGAATGAGATGCTGAAAGGACATTTGAGTAAATAAGGAAATATGGTCAGAAGTAGAGAGTAGGAATATCAAGGTATCTATTATTGCATTCCAAAGTTGTATCCAAATAATTTTAAGTTTTATTTTTCTTTTCTGTATCTTTGACCAATATGTTAACTAATATAGAATGCAAATTTGATAGTGATTTTTAAAACTATAGTATTGTCTCTGTTTAGAATAGCCTATTGGTTAAACTTTAGACAAATCCGAGCTCAATTCTAAGTTCTAATGTTTTCTTGAGCAAGTTGTTTTGGCTCTCCAAATCTTAGTTTTGTTATTTTAAAGTAAGGATAATAATAGTATTTCCCTCATTGAGAAGAGTAACAGAGGTATTACATATAACTGTTCATTTTTATGTACAAAATGACATCTGTTGACGGATAAGATTCCAAGGGGGCGGGACTAGAGTAAGGAACAGATCCTGTGCAGAGAAGTCACATCAGGGTGCTCATGTGAAAGACAGAGAGCTATAGCAACAAGTTCAAATGGAGAATTTTATAGAACAATTTCCATAGAAATAATGTTTCTATGGGAATCAGTCAGAGTTTTTCAAGACTATATCTCAATAAGACCTCCAAATAGAAAAAAAAAAGTAAGAGAAACAAAGAATTATTTCAAGAAGACATTTCACACAAAAAGGAGTGGGGAAGGAAGAACATTAGTACAAAAGAGGGTGAAGACCAACTGGAAAAATTCACTTAGTCACACTGGTTAGGGGTTGTCACTGACTCCTTAGTAAAGAGAAACTGGAGAAGAGACTGGATCTACTGCTGACCCTCTAAAACTCCTCCAGTGTAGCTACATAGAGTAATCTCTACACAATCATAGAATCGGTACACAGAGATCATATACTCCCCAAATCTCAAGAGAAGAAGTTTGTGTCCTTCAGAAACTGGATAGAAAAATATAAATTGGCTATAAACATTGAAATTGTGAAACACAAGTCACAATCCTGTGTATTCACACACATTTTTTCATGAAAGGAAAAACAAAGGAAATGAATAAGCATTTGAAGATTTTGGACAAGAGTTAGCAGTATCTAAAGCAAGAGAGAAGCAAATGAAGTCTCACACCAGGCTTCTATGATTTCTGGATTTCATTGGGCAGTACCACGCCACACTCCAGCATCTCTGTCCTCCACCACTGCCAAATTAGGAACTGACACAAGGTTGCCAAGTTCTCGTTTTACTTGTACTGACATTTAAAGATAATTACAAATCACCACATACGACCTCATTCATTTTCACAAAAGAATGAACTGATAGAAAAAACATAGTATGGATGTGAACTCAGGGAGGAAATGCATTATAAAAAATTCACTACATTGTTCCTATTTTCCTCATTTTGGTGAGTCCACTTCTCTGTGGACTGGAACTAGTTCGTGGGCCAGGATTTCAACCTCACTGCCCCAGTGCACTCTTCTGTTCCAGCATCATGATGATAAAGACATTATACCACCAACTAAAACATTTGACTCCTTGGCAAATGCATATGAGGTGCTTGTTACACAATGTGGGATGTCAGTCTCAACAAATCCCTTATTGGTTTTAACAAACCAATGGGATGTCAGTCTCAACAAATCCCTTATTGGTTTTAACAAACCTTAACCTTTACACTTTGACTTACAAATCAGCATTGACCCTCCCTGGTTCTTAGAGTCAAGCTACCCTTTGGATGTGCTACAAATAAAACTAACCAAACCCTTTGTTTAAAACCCATATTATGTTGCTTACAACACTGAATTACAGGTTTTGTTTGCATGACGATCTCCCTAACTAGACACTAAACCCCTCGAGGGCAGGATCTAGTTTTCCTCTTCTTGATACCCTTACAAGTAAAGCGATGTTTGGCACGTTGTGAATCCTTGTAAGTATTTGTTGAATAACTGAGTGAATGGCTCTGCTTAGGTTATGTTTCCTGAAACATCATAATTATACATAGCAAATCCTTGCTACTGTTTTATAGTATTTTGATGGAAGTAGGAATTGGCTCTGTCCTTCAACATTCACTCATTCATTCTTCAGACACATTACATGAAACCCTTGCTATGTGCCTTACACTGTGCTAACTGCTAATCAAAATGACCAGAATGTAGTTCTTGCCTTCAAAGATGTCAAGAACAGTGCTTTCTGGAGCTCACATTATCTTTTAAGCACAGTACCAATTTCCTGAATGATATAAATATAAATAAATTGTCTGAAATCTTAATAGAGTGAACATTTACCCTCATATGTTTTTCTTACCACTCTAAGAAGCAATACCCACTTTATGTAAGAGTTCTCCTCTCTAACAGATTGCAGCCACTATCCCCATGACACAGTTTACTTAAATTGGAGCCTTAGCCATATCCACTTTAAATGAAATAATAAATCTGCTTACTATTGCAAGTCTTGTTGTATTTGCTGTTCTCCTGTGCAAACCCTTCCAGCCGGCACTGAAAACGATGCTGCCAAAATTCTTGAAACCAGGGGTTTCGGAGGTTTGTTTCGGGCCGGAGCTTCAGATAATAATCATCAAACCACTTGACATCAGGAGATTGGAGCTTGATTGTGATTCCACCAACAGCTTCTCGCTGATATCCATCTGTCACATCATATCTGTCAGCCCAGCCATCACTGTGGGGAAACAAAAAACCCCTCAGCTTAGAACAGATATCTTCTAAGAAAATTATTCTACTTGCTGTCATTTTGAAAACATTGGTCATTAAATGGCACTCAGGCCACACTATGGTCTTATATTATACTACGTGATTCTTGAGATAGCAACTTTCTAGGATAAAAAGTGCAAAACACAACGGAAACTTTGGGTCTAAGAATGCTGGAAGGTACCAGTCTCACTTACCTTGAACTGCAGAGAATAATAACCTTATGCTTTTGACAGAATTTTACTGGTTGTAGAATATAGTACATGCATGGAAGCTGCATAATATCACCATTCACACTATTTACTGAACGTTTAATAGCTAGGTCAAGTTAACTTTAAATACATTCTTTTCCTTTACTTAATAATAATCATTATAGTTATCGTAAAGTAAAAATGAAAAATATTTCTAAAATATACCTTATGTTAATTTAACCATCCTATGACAGGATATTCACTTGTTTCCAGGTTTACAAGTGATGATAAAGAGGTTAAAAAAGAAAACCTTTCTGATTATGGTCATTCTATTAAATATTGATTCATCAGAGCCTCAGACTGGAGTCCTTATAGTCCATATTCCTCTTTCCTATCCCATGGTACTTCTCTAACACATTTAAAATACGCATATGAAATCATATTTTACATTAGAGTGATTGAAAGAACTTCTTAGCAATAGGCCATCAAAGATGGTGACAGGGATCATACTCCTCAATATTAATACCATTCTATGCACTGATCACTCAAAGTAATGTAGGAATTTTAAAATAAAAGAGTTTGAAATCAGAGAGTTCCTGAGTATAACAGAAAAAGGAAAACTATTCTAAGCTTATTTGGAAAATACATGAGACACAACACTGGAAATAAAAGACAAGAAAAGGTGTTTATATCAAATCTGGACACACCTTAGGGCATTTAGGAAAAAAGTGTCTCTGACTTTCCCCACCCTCTCTGTCATTTGGAATATGCAACTTGTGTTATGCATCTGCTGGGACCCAGTGGTACTATCCTTCCTTTGAAGAGGCGCAAGTGCTCTTTCAGGAGAAGTAAAGAAAGTCAAGGGAAATGTAACAATGGAAAAAAAAAGGAACAACAAAGAGGGAGGAGAAGGTACGGAGACAGTTGAAGGGAAGAACAGAATGGAGCCTCCTGAACACAGGACAGGAAAGGTTTTGGAGATTAGCTGGGTGAAAGGGAGTGGGTACTGGGGAAAGTGTAAGCGAAAGGATTTACATTAACAATCATTGTTTATTTCATTAATGTTCAGATATTTCTATTTATTGGAATGTTAATTTCTTTTTTCTTTAATTTCTTTTTATCTTCCTTCCAATGCATTTTTATCCTTTATACGTTTTTTGGGGGGGGGAGGCAGAGAGCATGCTCCAATATTTTGCATAAATCTGTGCCAGGGAAAGTATTATGTAAGGAATTAATTAGAATAAGTAAAAAAAAAAAAGCATGTACTTTCTTCAGTATGCTCTGACTTAAAAATTGATAATGAGAGTTGTTCCAAAGGTCATATATTATTCATTAAGATATCACAGGGGCTTGAGATATTCCTAAGGCATCCGTGGGTGCAGGAGTAGAATAAAATAAACAAACGAAAAAAATAAACCATTTCTTCCTCCAAGTCCTCCTTGACAAGAAGAGATTTCATTGAAAATTATCTATGTTGAAATTTCAAAAACTTTTGTGGCAAATCAGGAAACAAAAACAATAACTAATGCAATACGTTTTGTCCCAATGTTGAATGTGGTTACTTCACACATTATCTTCCCCGAAGTTTCTCATTTCAGCTGCACAGATTTTATTTAAAGCTGACAAGTTGAAATGAAGTGGGCTTGTTTGCTTCATTCTCTTGCTCTGTTTTGGAGGGTTTATTATATCACTGATAGGAGAGTGTGGGTCTCATTGGCACTCGAGGAGATGCATGGGCGTGCTGCAAATGGGACCGGAAACCTGTTTGTCAAGCAGAGCCCGGTTCTCCAAGGAAGTGGGAATTTAAATTGCTCCTTTTATTCATGCGAGCTTGCTCTTATGTAACGCTGTGATTATGAATATTACATAAGAAATGTAAGATCATAATGGGTCCAATTTACCCTTCACAATTCATTCACTGAATTTAATGGGGATTGTAAAAAGCCTGTCTTGATAAACTTTTTTGGAGGTGATATTTCCATTAAAAAAAAAAAAAGTCAGGACCGTAGTGTGTTAATTTACTCATCTCTCATCATGTTCTTTAGCTTTTTTTTCCATGTATAAATCTCTACATTTAATTTAGCAAAAGACGGTGTTTTTTAGTAGTCTATAGGTTAGCGTGGTGATTTTTAAAACAGTTTTGTTCCAGATATTTCCATTCAACAGCAAAATAAAAACCATAAAAGAGTTCGTATATAAACAGAAAATTCCAGTGTCTGTGTGGCAAAAAATGGTTATTCTATTTAAGCTTATGGGGGAATATCTGCTGTGTAAGTCTCAAGATAGTTCAATCCATATTGGCTAAGTTAGATGGTGCTCTATTGACTTTAGCTTATTAAATATTAACATTTTCATAAAAATGTGCTTTTAAGATTTGCATTAAGATGATAGGGTATGTCTAAGTAAGGAATAATAAATTCATAAGTGAATAGCCAAGAAAACTTGAGCTTACCTTTCTACTATCCAGTGCTGTCCATTGCATTGTTAGAGTGGACTGTCAAGATTCTGGCACTACTTTAATGCTTTTGGGTGACATATATTTTACCAAATCAGGAAAAAGGGGGGGAGGAAGATAAGGAAAGAAACTGAAAATGTACCACATTTCAGTCAAGTTTCTAGATTTAGTATCTATCTATCTATCTATCTATCTATCTATCTATCTATCTATATATCTATCTCTCTCTTCATCCATCCATCCTTCCATCCATCCATTCATCCATCCATCCATCCAATTTCTTCTCATTGATGGGCATTTTACCCATCTCCTTATAATCCATTTTGTTATTTTCTTTCCAATGCTTTGATTTACAGTCGTTTCCCATTATTTGCAGAATCTGTATTTGTAAATTCATCTGCTTGCTAAAATTTATTTGCAACCCCCATACTGATACTCATGGCACTTTTATGGTCATTTTCAGATATACAGAGAGTGGCAAAAAAGTTGATTCTTCTGATGTGCATATACCCGGCTGAAGCTGAACAAGGTGAACCTCTGCTTGCTTGTTTCAGCTTTGATACTATAAAGAAGTGCACTTTTCATGGTCTATTAAGTGCCAAGTTTTTGCATTTTTGTGTGTTTTTTTAAATTGATTTTGCTGTTTAAAATATCCCCAAGTATCGTACTGATACATTATTTAGAGTTCCCAAGTGCAAGAAGGCTGTGCTATACCTTACATAGAAAGCCAGCTGCCCCTGGTGGTCCAGTGGTTAGGACTCCGCGCTCCCAATGCAGGGGGCACAGGTTCGATCCCTGGTCAGGGAACAAGATCCGGTATGCCGCAACTAAGATCCCGCATGTGGGAACGAAGATCCCGCGTGCTGCAACTAAGGCCCGGTGCAGCTAAGTAAATAAATATATCTTTTTAAATGTAGGTTGATAATACATATACTCTTAAAAAGTAAAAAAAAAAAAAAAAAAACAGCTGCATTTAGGCATGAGTAAAGTGCTGTTTTCTGTGAATTCAATATTAATTCATCAACAATATTAGATATTAAATATTAAATAAAGTGTCTTTAGACCAAAACACCATAAAGCAAGGTTATGTAATGACTAGTTGATGAAAATGTGACTAGAGGCTCACGACAATTTAAACCTATATTTCCCCTAGGAGTAATGGTCAGTATTCACTAATTCAGTGTTTGGTGCCTGTTTATAGAACATACCTACTGTGAATAACAATAATTAAGTGGAGATATATATATATATAGGAGAGGAGGAGAGACATGTAAATAAATGACCACATACGAACGAATATTCTTATAGGTATGAAATGAACGCGAGAGAGAAGATCAGTAAATAATTGACCAACTCTTCATAGAAAGGTAAGATTTGAATTGAGTTCGGAAAATATGGGTAATGGAGTGATAACTGTATTTTGAAATGTTATTTTTTAGACAACAAGTAGGTATTTGTTTATTAATTAATTAATTAATTTTTGGCTGTGTTGGGTCTTCATTTCTGTGCGAGGGCTTTCTCTAGTTGCGGCAAGTGGGGGCCACTCTTCATCACCGTGCGCGGGCCTCTCACTATCGCGGCCTCTCTTGTTGCGGAGCACAGGCTCCGGACACGCAGGCTCAGTAGTTTTGGTACACGGGCCTAGTTGCTCTGCGGCATGTGGGATCTTCCCAGACCAGGGCTCGAACCTGTGTCCCCTGCATTGGCAGGTGGATTCTCAACCACTGCGCCACCAGAGAAACCCAACAAGTAGGTATTTGTGAATCAGGGAATAGTAAATATTAAGCATTGCAGCAATATGGAGTGTGCCGGATAGTGACTAATGAAAAGTAAGCTGAGGAAGACCAATTATGAATGGTCTTCTGGGCCATTCCAAACGTTTTGAGTTTTATCATTCAGGTGAAGGGGAGCCAGTGGTGGCTTTTAAAGTGGGAAGTGTTATGAAGAGATGATGAGAACTGGATGAACTGTGGTAGCAGTGTGAGTGACAGGTAAGAAAGGTTGTGGATGAGTGTTAGAGGATCAAGTTAGAAAAGTTGTTACAGTGGTTAAGGGATCTAATGGATGTTTGTATTAAAGGACTGGGAATGAAGAGCCTATTTGTAAGGAATTCTCAGAGTCCCTAGGACTAGATACGTGGAGAATAGGGGGTAAAGGAAGATTTTTCGGTTTATGGGAGACATTAGTGATATTGTAAGTGATATTGTAAGTGACATTGTAGCTCCATGTCGTAGGTTGTAAAATACAGGAAAACAGGTTTAGGGTGAAAAAGGAAGAAAATGAATAGAAGTAGGGATCTACAATGATCAGATTTCCCTTTATATG